CAACATTTAATCCCAAACTGAACATACATGTGTATGTACCAAGTTTCTTTTAGCCTGAGTGATTGAGATATTGGTGGAAAATTAAATATTGACTAATTTATATGCAAATTAGGTCATTAATAACACAGATTTCAACCAAAAACTGACCAAGTTTGCACATTATCCCAGAACATCTATGTACAAAATTTCATACCACTAATTAGAACTCCATAGATGACAATGTTAGCGTTTGAATGAATTTCTCCAAATAAAAGGGGTTACAAAGTTCAAAATATTGTTTTAATTTGTTGAATCTACATGTATTCTCTGTAATAAAATTCTGGCCAGTAAATAGATGTTGGCAAGCTAAAACTTCTACAAAATGGATGTAAAGAACACATACAGATTTGTCAGTTTTTCTACCTTCAATATTTTTAGAAACTCAGCAGTTATAAAGTGTCTAAATCAAGAGTTGCCCAGATCCACAGGTCACCAGTACTTGTCAATAAACAAAACTACAAACACAAGTCTAACAGCTGACTGAATTGACGTACACCCCCATACATCGTGTTGCAGATAAAATGCGGTGAAAGAAAACCCATTGGCAAACAACCAAAAGATTTTAAAGCTACGAACGCTGATATGCTAATTAGTGGCAAAAGACCTGGTAATGGATATAAAACAAAAGAACCTCATGTCAATTTGCCAAAGAGGGCGCACTTTAAAACAGAATGACTGAGCAGAATTTTTCTCATGAAAATATACATGAATACCGGTAGTACTTATAACTGAATATGATACTCTATCCTATGGTCATAAAATGTCTGAGAAAGAATAGTATATTAAGAAAACTGTAAAAAAAAGTCCTACACATAAAACTGATTTCCTATGGGGAAGATATGATATAGAGAGGGGCTAATGAACTAAATGCACAAAAAGGAGAAACTTACTCATAATATTCAGTAGCTTTTTGAAGGCATGCTTTAACTTCTTGTGGGAAATCTCCGGGGTCTGTGTGTCCTGATCTTCCAGCATGTTTACCCTTTGCATGATACACGTTGCCAAGGTTATAAAGTGAACGTCCTTCGCCAACCTGACATAAATATGGAAAATTAAAGTTTAGTTTAATTTCACAAACAAGGATTACATGTATAACCATTAGACATGACAAATAAAGGTCACACATCCTGGTATTTTATGACCTGAAAAGGTCACTCATCCTGGTACTTTATGACCTGAAAGGTCATACATCCTGGTACTTTATGACCTGAAAGGTCACACATCCTGGTACAAAATGTACTGTGAAATACTTTATTTTAGCTGGAATTAATTTTCGCTGAAAAGGTTTTTGGGCGTTTTGTATGGAATTTATTTTCACTGATTTTTGATGAGTTGACATAGGAAAAAAAGTATATTTGCTGGATTTTATTTTATTTACTTTTGTTCTGACCTGTGAAGGTCACACATTTGGTAAATCTCAGTAGGATTCTGTCAGGATGTCACATGATTTGCATAAAATGAGCTGAGGGTCCATAGCTCTTCTTTTTTCAGAGTAGGCAAAGACATGTACCATTTTAATAGAAGCCGCGGTTTCTAATATAGATTTTACAGTAGTATATGAAACAGTTCACAAAAGAGTACATTAACATTAAGCACTTCAATACAGCACTTGTAATTTAATCAAATTATGATTGGTGAACAATAGAAAATAAATCCAAACAATTATTTTATTTATTATCGTAAGTTTCCACAATTTATCAAATAAAAAATATAGTTCATCAGTATTTCTTAGAATAGATTTGTTATTAATGGTTTTATATTTTCAAATGCCATATCAAAATACAGGTATACTGCAAGGACAGGAATAGAAAAGAAAAGCACTCAACACTATCACAATTTCAAAATTCTAGCAGCTTAATAAGGTTAACAAATTATTATGGAGTTTTCATGTTCAATTTATTACACGTCATTAGTGGGTAACAAAACATGGCACAAGAAATCAGGAAACCATAGACCCTGGGTTCAATGGCAAAATCCATGTAAATTTCAATGAATACTAATAACAGGATGTTTTTGAGGCAAAGGCTAATGGTTAGGTCGTCATTTTCCTTGAGTTCGTTTCTTTAGTGAGTGGTTCACATCCTTGGATATGTTATAACTACCTATACAGTTTCCATAGGTACCGGTAATTTGTGTTCCAATATTCGCTTCCTTATAGCATTTTTTGCAAGACCACAACATGTGACCGCATGCTCTCATCTTCCAAAACCATCATTTTTCACATAATTTATATTATTAATAATAATAAACAACTATTTTAAGAATACCTGAATTTCAATCAGTGTTTTTACTATCACATTGGTCTGACACTGTTATAGTCATTATGATGTGGTATATGTTTTATCTATTACCATGTACCTGTGGTTTGAGCAGCGTTCTCCACAGGTTTTTTGAGAATAGCGGTTTTACCTTGCATGAGGCTGGTGTTAATGGTAAACCTTAGAGTGCCAAAGTAAGTTTTGTCACCTTTCAGAAATTTAATCCAACATAAATTTTTCACATTTTGATCAAGACCTGTATCTAGTGAGTAATTATGTCCATTTTGTCCAAATTATCAACAAATTCCCTCAAAACTCCTAAGAATGTAACACCAATATTTTGGTTCAAGGGGTTAATTATTCTTTGTGTAAATATATTATGTAAATTACAAGACACTTCGCGATGAGAGTCTTTTGCGGTCAGTAATATTTACGAACATTTTTGTTTCCTATTGGCGATCCGTTCTGCTAGGATTGCCCTTAAAATCAATTTTGTGTTTCTGAGTGTGTGGTTTCCCCGTGTTTTCACGTATTAATTCTTCTGTGATTGTTTTGGCTTGGCCTATTTCCCTCAAACTTGACAGGCAGGTCACACCATCACCCTAGTTAGTAGGTAAAATCTGAAGAAAAAAATTGGCCTATCGTTGCCATAGTAACAGCACAAAAAACTGGATGGCTTCGTGCTCAATGATTCTCCTACAAATTTAGGATAAAACTCTTCAGACATAGCTCATTCTACTCAGCTTGAGCGTGGGCACTAAGTTACTATTTGAATTTTT